TTAGCCAGAAGACTTCAGTTTGACAAAACTAAGCAAAAGTAAAACAAGCGTCGTTCAGAATCTTGAAGTTCCTAGATTCCGAACATTTACAAATACCATAACAACCGAGATTAGACATTAATTTATACAGGATGATATTCGAAACAAGTACATAAGAATTTTTGTATGAAACTTTTGAAAAATGTTGTCGACCTTTTCAAGATTTGATATTCATGAAGATGAAATTTTTCATCCTGTAAAAGAGCAGTAGCATTAAAATTGTAAACTGATTTGTGAAAAACGACTATGAAAAGAGCTCCGAGACCTTGAACACAACTTGAAATTGGAAAACAACTACTGCTCCACATAAAAATATGATTTTTGTTTCTTAGGCTAAATCAGAATATGTAACATTCAACCAAAAACTACACAGCGACGGAGCGTAGAAAAAGTAGCCCCATTTAAAAACGAAATTATTGTTCAAATTATTGGTGTTCAAATGTGTTGCAATTGCACACCTAATTTTTAGTTTTTAAAATAAATTTTTTGACGAAATTTCGAAAATCAGATAGCTGCAAAATAATTTTTTTTGAAACGCTATTTGCTGCTACAAAAAAACTGTCTCATTGCTCTTTTTGTTTTACATATAAAACTGAATTTTCAATTCAACTGAGATGGAATTGCAGTTCTCATTGGAATTTCTCTTCATTTTTTGAGCATGTGATCCTTCAAATTTTAAGGTTTCAAATTTTAGACACTTGTGTTTGTTGACAGAGAGAAAGTACATGTGAAAATTAAAACATCTTTTGGATATCTTTTAGGGCCCTTGTAACATCAAAATGACCGCAGCAGCCGAGGTTAAAGATCAACAACCTCAGAGTAACACCAGTAACATCAAAGATGGGCTGGCTGACAGGAAAATAATTGGTACTTGTTGTAGTGAGTTTCTTAATTACAGAGATTATTATGAGTAAACTCTGTTTTTGTTATAGCGGAAAAAGTGACTGGAGTCGTGAAATGGTTCAATGTTCGAAATGGCTACGGATTCATTAATAGAGACGATACCCAGGAAGATATTTTTATTCATCAAGTACGTCAAATTTCTGCGTTGAATCGAACAGAAGTTTCGGATCAACCGTACAATTTCCCCACAAATCGATTTAAAGGGGAGAAAATACGGATTTTTCTTTAACTAACTTTGAGTATCGCCTAGATTTGTTCTCAAATAACCGTATTAATAAAGAAAATTGTAATAAAACGCTAATCTAGGTAATTAAGAGCGTGCAAGTGCAATCCCGCAGAATCAAATGTTAAAAACAGTTTTATTTGCGGGTTTGTATGAAATGCATATTTTATACGGACCTAATTTCCAAAATTAATACATGCTTGGGGAGGGCTTTATACGGTAGGTCACTATGGGGGGGATTGTACGTTTGATCCAGAGTTTTGGAGTTTGACTTCTTTCACGGACAAAAAAGCTCGAATTAAAAGGAACCTAATTTAACCTTTTGTTGGAAAGTAATAAAACAGTAAATTGGAAATGACATTGTTTACCAGATTTTAATTGAGAGTTGTAAAAATAGTTTATATAAAATCAGTAGCAAGTTGAAGGGTTCAACTACACTTGTGGACAAACTTAAGATCAGGTCAGCGTTTTTCTAAAATGCCAAGGGCCGGTAAGGATTTTCAAGGACCGTTATGTTTGACATTTACTTAGAGTCCATGCAAAAATTTTTTCTTGACCTAGACAGAAAAACCAATCAGTAAACAGTACAAAAAATTATCTTTTCAGGTCTGAAAACGAGTTTTTCCCAAATATAGGCCTCCCATACATGGTAATAAAACAGCATCTACCCTTTGATTCTACCATTGGCTGACTATAATTTGTGAAAGACCCTTGAAAACGCCAGTTTTCACAATGCAATAAGTTTTTCTCGAAATGATACTTTCGACCTTCTGAGTATTTGTTATGAAGGCCTGAAATCGTTATCGGTGAAGAGTGAAGTAAAAAAAATTGTTGTTGGTTGTTAGTTGCCATTAGAAAAATTATGATGCATGGTCATTAAATAAAGTGATTTTTTTCCTGAGCTCATCTGTTTCTTTAGTTGACGTTGTTGTGAAAACTTACTGCACACAGTAAAAACTGGTTTTTCAATTCTGGAATAAAGTTGTAAGTCTTTGTAACCAAGTACTGATACTTTTATAGAGGAGCTTTCGTCATTTGCTCTTGATCACCAGAAACGTTTTGTTTGGTTTCTAAGTTAATGCCGTCCGAATTGGTCTGAAATAAGAAGACGAGTGAAATAAGACTGAAAGGTTAAAACCTGAATTTCTGCTTGTTTGCTTTAGCTAGTTATTCTGACCATTTGAAAAATGGGGATGAACTTTGTATTCGTGTCTTAGTCTTTTTTTCTTTTTGTTTTCCACGCAAAATCAGGTACCACAAACAGTTGTCAGAATGGATCGAGCGATATATCATAATAAAGCTCTTTCAATCGTGATTCGAACGATATTAGAGAATTTCTAAAGTTTATTCACAGTGTTGAGAAAAACCGTTATGAAATTTTTGTTTTTGGTCAATTTTCGAACTTATATGGTGTGAGCGTGTGTCTAGACTTTCAATAGCTTATTTCAGCTTTTTTAAGCCGTGAAAATTTAGTTGTACTCAAATAAAAGTAGTTTTTGAATTTCTTAGCGCCATTTTGTAAACTAAGGTTAAAAATTCAAATTTTTCTGCAAAATTTTTCAAATTTTTTAAAACGTTTTTGTAAAATGTTTTCTTATCAATTTTCTTTAAAAACTGTTTTCCGAGTGGCTTTTTCCATGACTGTCAAGTATGCCTTTTTTTCGTTCAGATCCTTTATCACACCATGCGGGGAAGAAACAACTATTTGAAAAAATATATATTTTTGCATTTTTCTAAGACTGGTCGGAACATTCTGTGCTACTTGCACAGTAACCGGCAATCCTTGTTTACTTATCGAGTTAGAAGCAGTTTCGTTTTTTGCTAGTAATGCGGAGCTCAGCCGTGTGTGAACTAATTGATCAAACTCGTGTCCTTCGTTTCTTAGGAAAAATTCTGAAAAACCATACACTTCTTGCAATGTGTTATTTCGTCACATAGTTAATAAGTAGCCAAAAATGAAGACCGAAGAATGATTACCAGATTTTCAGAGTGTTGAATTGGCACATACTTCTTTAAGGAATGAGCGCATGAATATTTTCCGGTTTTTGAGGACACTTTTGGTCTAAAAACAAATCTTTTGTCTTATCCACGTTTATTTTAAAACCGCGTTTTGCAAAGCCTTGTGCCAATATTAAATTTCTCAAAAGACTGAGATTCCGTTTCAGCGGATATCTCAAGGTCATCTGCATATAGCATATCCCATAGCACAATGGAACGACAGTTTATCGTTGCAGCTTCCATTACTATTATAAATAACAATGGGCTAAGTTCCGATCCTTTATGCAGATTACACCTACTTTAGTTTCGAAGTAAGCACTGCATCCTTGGGGCCGGTGAACTCTGGGTTTCGACTCAGTGTGCAGATATATTTTTAGTCATACCAGATTTTCGGGAACTCTGTTGCCGCAGAGATCATGGGATCAGTTCCCTGGGAATACGGTCAAAGGCTTTTTCGATCAACAAATGTGATGCAGGGGTTCTTTTCTTTTCCGCAAATGGTTCCTTCAATAACGACACGTAAAGCCAAATTGCATCTCATATTTTTTAATCAAATGTATCAGACGTTTTTCTTGTACTTTTTTGATAATTTAAAATGCGTGTTCCAGTAATCGTATGCCTCTGTAGGATCCACGTTCTAACGGACTGCCTTTTTTGTAAAAGGTAACAGTTTAACTTTCACGCCATTCGGAGGGGATTAGATCAGAGTCCCACTTCTCCTTAAGGACTTCAAAAAGTCCACAATCCTCAGCAAATTTTATCATGTCCGATGTTATCCGTGTTGGTCCACGGCTTTATTTTTTCATCTCTCTCAGTGCAAGTGTCACTTGCTGGATAGTAATTTTCTTCAATAGGCCAGCCACGGGGGATATCTTCCGTTTCAAACGGATTAGTTTCATTTGAAAGATTTGAGAAGTAGCTTTGCCGCTGCAAGAGAACATGTTGGTCACACATCTTTTTGGTCATTTTTCATTTGCTTGGCAAGGCGGAACATTTTATGACCTGCCTCCATTTTATGAAGTTTTTTCTCACGGTTTCTGGTTTGGTTCTTTTTTTAGCTCCAGTAACTAGCTGTTTTTCGACTGTTTTCTGCCTCCGATATATCAGCCGGTGTTCTTCATTTCCAGACCTCTGCCACTTTTTCTAACAAAAAAGCTCGAATTGAAAGGAACCTAATTTAACCTTTTGTTGGAAAGTAATAAAACAGTAAATTGGAAATGACATTGTTTACCAGATTTTAATTGAGAGTTGTAAAAATACTTCATATAAAATCAGTAGCAAATTGACGGGTTCAACTACACTTGTGGACAAACTTAAGAACAGGTCAGCGTTTTTCTAAAATGCCAAGGGCCGGTAAGGATTTTCAAGGACCGTTATGTTAAACATTTACTTAGAGTCCATGCAAAAATTTTTTCTTGACCTAGACAAAAAAACCAATCAGTAAACAGTACAAAAATGATCTTTTCAGGTCTGAAAACGAGTTTTTCCCAAATATAGGCCTCCCATACATGGTAATAAAACAGCATCTACCCTTTGATTCTACCATTGGCTGATTATAAGTTGTGAAAGACCCTTGAAAACGCCAGTTTTCACAATGCAATAAGTTTTTCTCGAAATGATACTTTCGACCTTCTGATTATTTGTTATAAATTTTTCTGAAGGCCTGAAATCGTTATCGGTGAAGAGTGAAGTAAAAAAAATTGTTGTTGGTTGCTGATGCCATTTGAAACATTCTCATGAATGGTCTTTAAATAAAATGGTCTTTTTCCTGAGCTCATCTGTTTTTAAGTTGAAGTTGTTGTGAAAACTTACTGCACACAGTAAAAACTGGTTTTTCAATTCTGGATTAAAGTTGTTAGTCTTTGTAACCAAGTACTGATACTTTTATAGAGGAGCTTTCATTTGCTCTTGATCACCAGAAACGTTTTGTTTGGTTTCTAAGTTAATGCTGTCCGAATTGGTCTGAAATAAGAAGACGAGTAAAATAAGACTGAAAGGTGAAAACCTGAATTTCTGCTTGGTTGCTTTAGCTAGTTATTCTGACCATTTGAAAAATGGGGAGGAACTTTGTATTCGTGTGTCTTAGTCTTTTTTCTTTTTGTTTTCCACGCAAAATCAGGTACCACAAACAGTTGTCAGAATGGATCGAGCGATATATCATAATAAAGCTCTTTCAATCGTGATTCGAACGATATTAGAGAATTTCTAAAGTTTATTCACAGTGTTGAGAAAAACCGGTATGAAATTTTTGTTTTTGGTCAATTTTCGAACTTATATGGTGTGAGCGTGTGTGTAGACTTTCAATAGCTTATTTCAGCTTTTTTTAAGCCGTGAAAACTTAGTTGTACTCAAATAAAAGTAGTTTTTGAATTTCTTAGCGCCATTCTGTAAACAAAGGTTAAAAATTCAAATTTTTCTGCAAAAATTTTTCAAATTTTTTAAAACGTTTTTGTAAAATGTTTTCTTATCAATTTTCTTTAAAAACTGTTTTCCGAGTGCCTTTTTTCTATGACTGTCAAGTATGCCTTTTTTTCGTTCAGATCCTTTATCACACCATGCGGGAAAGAAACAACTATTTGAAAAAATATATATTTTTGCATTTTCCTAAGACTGGTCGGAACATTCTGTGCTACTTGCACAGTAACCGGCAATCCTTGTTTACTTATCGAGTTAGAAGCAGTTTCGTTTTTTGCTAGTAATGCGGAGCTCAGCCGTGTGTGAACTAATTGATCAAACTCGTGTCCTTCGTTTCTTAGGAAAAATTCTGAAAAACCATACACTTCTTGCAATGTGTTATTTCGTCACATAGTTAATAAGTAGCCAAAAATGAAGAGCGAAGAATGATTACCAGATTTTCAGAGTGTTGAATTGGCACATACTCCCTTTAAGCAATGAGCGCATGAATATTTTCCGGTTTTTGAGGACACACTTTTGGTCTGGAATCAAATCTTTTGTCTTATCCACGTTTATTTTAAAACCGCGTTTTGCAAAGCCTTGTGCCAATATTAAATTTCTCAAAAGACTGAGATTCCGTTTCAGCGGATATCTCAAGGTTATCTGCATATAGCATATCCCATAGCACAATGGAACGACAGTTTCTCGTTGCCGCTTCCATTACTATTATAAATAACAATGGGCTAAGTTCCGATCCTTTATGCAGATTACACCTACTTTAGTTTCGAAGTAAGCACTGCATCCTTGGGGCCGGTGAACTCTGGGTTTCGACTCAGTGTGCAGATATATTTTTAGTCATACCAGATTTTCGGGAACTCTGTTGCCGCAGAGATCATGGGATCAGTTCCCTGGGAATACGGTCAAAGGCTTTTTCGATCAACAAATGTGATGCAGGGGTTCTTTTCTTTTCCGCAAATGGTTCCTTCAATAACCACACGTAAAGCCAAATCACTAATACACCCAATAATAAACTCACCAAAAAATAATCGAACATAAGTAAAATCTAGTTTGGTTAGCTTGCCGTTGTGGGAACATACCGTGCTAGTTGAACAGCAATCGGCTATCATATGATTTTCATTTGCAGCAAAACCAAAAATCAATTGAATCAAAAGTTTTGACGGAGATTTTCTTTTCGTGAAAATTGCTGGGAATTACTAATGAAGATGCCCGATTTTGTTCTAAAATTTTTCTTACATGCATGCGAAGTTTCATCTCTTCTGTACATGTACATCATATACAAGGACAGGACAAGCTCAAAATAACAAACAATTTAAATCAAAATTCTGCTAAATGAGTGAATCAATTGGCAGAAGTATTTTTGGAGCTGTCAAGGTTTCGCAAAATACACATAGTTTGAGAAATTGTACCTGATGTAGCAGTACCACATTTTAATACAAGACTAACGATTGCTCTATGATTAGCACAAAATAATCCGACCAAATGTCAAATTATTCAATCAACTATCAAAAAGAATAAGACACTTTTTTTGACATGTATGCATTTTATCAAAAAGCCGTTGTGTTGGATTGCTTGAGTGGACTGAAATTATGCTCAAACTCAAGTTGAAGTAGCTTAAGTTTGTAAAAAATCTTTCCAAAAATTGTGACTAAGTATTAGTAGTGAGTATTATTAATCAATTGAGCAACATTTTCGAACCGGTTTTTTCTAGACACACTAATTTTGTTACCCTTGCGATAAGTAAGGGTATTGCAACCGGGTACTAGATTTTTTTCGCATTCTTTTATTCTTTTTTACATTTATATTATTTCGGCTAGCTGCTATGTTAGTTCTGTTTTATGGTAAGTTTTGCGAAGCTTCGCTTGACCTCTGTTAAAATGTCTTTTTGAAATCCGCATCAAGACTTGAAGGGTTTTTTATTAGTATCACTTAAACCTTTAACGACTTTTTAACCAGCCGAAATCGCAGAAAAAAACATCCTAGTAAAAAGAATAAATTGTGGTCTCAACAGTATTCCTCGAAAAAATTCTCATATAAGGTTGTCTAGATTTTGTTATTTCGATTCTGGGTTACTTGTTGCTTAATTATGGGAATAATTAGTTTAGTTAATCCGCATCAGTCAATATTGGACTCTAGTAAGCATCGTTAATTTTGCTGAATGTGTTTAGACTGCAATTGTTAAAAACAACCCGCAGAAGTTTTTTCGAAGTGTTGGCGACGGTGAGAAGGTTGAATTTGACGTGGTTGTTGGTCTCAAAGGCAATGAAGCGGCAAATGTGACAGGGCCATCTGGTGAACCGGTTCAAGGAAGCATCTACGCACCCGACAGGTAAAATTAGTCAACAAAAAGACTTAAGACTCTTCGTGAGACGGCAATTGATAGCGTTTCAAATAGCGACAATCCTCGCAGAACAATTTAGCAACAAAATAGAAAGCTTCAAGTTGAATTGATTTAGCAATACACAGCAAACAAACGAACATGTCTTAGAAAGAGTGGTTTTCGATATCTAAGGCTTCAAAGAACTGCTAAGGAATGAATATTGGTTAAATTGTTTTGCGACGAGTTGTTGCTTTTTATGATTGCGACGAATTGTCACCATACCGAGAAAACTTACGATACTCCAAATTAATTGTGAGGTTTGTGAAATATTCCACAATTTGCATGGCGAGAAAATCATAGTCTAGTTAAGCTTAACTTTTTAACCTCCAGGTTGGGCTTCAGGATTAACAAAATATTTTTTGTTTCAGATCTCGGAACTTCGGGGGCCGGGGATTCAGAGGCAGAGGAAGAGGACGTGGGGGGTCGAGATTTTTCAACCGTACTCGAAGAGTAACAAACGAGAGTAGTGGCGCAGAAGGCGAAGAGAAAGGGGCCGGCGATGAGAGAAGTTTCAGGGGGCGAGGGAGGGGATTCAGGGGTGGAGGATTTCCGCGCGGTGGGTTCAGGGGCGGGCCTCCTGGTCCCATGCGGGGAATGAGAGGCATGCCTCCCCCGTTCCGAGGGGGATACGGGCCGCCGATGCAGCCTCCGCCGAGGTACTTCCGCGAAGACATGATGTTCGGTGGATATGTGAGTAGATGTCTTTTTCATTCTAGTTTTTTATCAGTTTTGGTACAAATCATAGAGAAGCTACGGATAATGGCTTTTAATTTTTAACAGTTTTTGTGGGTGCATCATTATCATGACCTGTACAGTGAACCCTGGTTTAGAGTCATGAACGCAGTGAATAGTCTTTTATAATTCTTGGTGTTTTTTGGTTTTTTTAAGCTAAAAATCTTTGTTCACGCTCAATTTTGTTTGTTCGCGGTTTGACTTTTGAATTCTTTCAATGTTCAGTTGCTTTCCTTTGTTAAAAGGTGGGCAAACTTCTCTACTGAACAGCTAAAGTGTAAAGGTCACAAAAAAGTTGATCGAATTCTAGTTTCGAAAGTGTATTTTAATTTAAGATTTTCAGCGGAATAAAAACTTTACCCAGTTTTCACAAGATTTTTTTCCATGAAATTTAAAAATTGAAGTTTTTTCAGAAAATTAATTCATTAATTTTGTTCAATTTTGCGTCCATGACTCTTTTCCAACTGTGTGTTGGCTATGTTTTCATTCAAAATCATTTTTGTTTCAATATCTAGTTTACTAACTTAGCCACTTTGAAATGGATTTAGAATCCAATGATGCCTCCAAGAGGTGGACAGCCGTTCAGAGGTGGCTTCCGCGGGGGACCCATGCCCCCACCCCCACCCAGGGGTATGTTCAGAGGGGGACCCAGTCGGGGATTCTTCAGGGGACCACCCCCTCCGCCCTCGTTTTTCGAGGGACCGCCTGCATTCTATGCCGGACCACCTCCCCCAAGGTAACTAGAATGGATTAACTAAACTCCGGACCAAGTTAACATCCTCCACCCCGAATTTGATTAGGAATGGAATTGCCTCGCATATTGTAAATTTTTCGATTCTGATTCGTTGAAAGTTTCAACTTGGACCAAATTAACATCCGCCCCCCTAAAACGCTTTAGAAGGAAAGGCGTCAACCTGGTCCGCCATTCCTTTAAATAAAAACAAAAGAAATAAAAGGCGTCAAGTCCGTTGTGATGCGAACAATTATGCTGTCATTGATTTTGAATAATAGCTAAGCTGACTTAGTGAAGGTGACAAATAATCGGCTTTGAACAGCTCCGAATTTAACGTTCGTTATCTTTTTCAAAGAACTTCTCTTTGGACAAGCTGCAGTTTGAACAAGCTAGCATATAACCACCTATAAACCTAAGCAATTATGCAATAGTTATGCAATTTTTGATGAACGGTTACGTTATAACGTGTAGATTGAAATAATTGACCTAAATTTTAACTTGTTAGTTGGTGCTGTTCATTTTCGGTGTGTTATTACTCGGCTGCCTTGTCCACCATTCGAGTTCTTGTGTTAAAAATGTGATTTACAGGGGATTTCTGAGAGGCGGTGGAAGGGGCAGAGGCTTCCGCGGAGGTCGAGGGGGGTTCAGGAGGGGTCAGTCTGGATCGGATGGGGCAGATGACCTCTAGGAGGAAAGAGAACTGGAGGAAAAACAACTTTTTGTGCAAGTTTTCTTTTTTGCTGGGCTTGAATGTAAATGATTGGACCAAATTGTCTGCCGCATTTATATCACGTTTTGTTCTGGCCGTTCTGCTGATAAGGATCACATCTCGTGTTTTATTTTCCCTGGGGAAAATATTTTGTCCTCGAGGGTTTCCCTGGCCTTTTTTTTGTTTTGATATCCTCTTGTGCCACCTCTTCCGCGTGGTTGAAAATAACCCATAGGTTCCTGTTTGAATGTTTCTATTGAGGTTGCTGATGTTCCAAACGGATTTGTGTTTGGAACACCAGCTTCTCTCTTTTCTCAATGATTTTGACATATCGAATTATATCCTTTAAGAGCTACAATTCTTGTGACGTCGCGGTTGTCTTCTAGGAGTTCTCGTGTAGTTGGCGACTGCAGGTTGAGGTGTGGTCTTTTTTGTTGCAATTTTCGTTGAACTTTTGCTCCAAGACATAGAAAACTTTAACTTCTTACTTCGACGTCCGAATCGTCCCAAGGTACGTTGTTGCAAAGCTCGCCTCTGTCTCTGGTTTGATTTCGTTGTTTTTCCAAGTGATTCTTTTCTCTTGGTTTCTGATATCTCAATAGCGCTTTTGAGCCTCTGTTTCTCTATTGGTTTCAACTTCGTAGGTTGGATCGGTTGGTTGTAAAATTGGAGGTTTTGCTCTTAGTAAAACTCTTACCTCTATTTCGTCTTTGGCAAACTTTGACCATTCCAGTTGTGGTTCTACTGATGCCTTTTGCCAAAAGGGGAATACTCAGGGGGGTGTTTATATCCTACTGGCTGCGCCATGTCATACCGCTTTGTATGAGCTTTTCTAGAATCTGAACGGTTGGGCAGAATAACCTAATACTTGCTAAGATCCGAGAAAAGGTAACTGAACACATGCCCATACCTATTTGATTCATTGATCGTAGCGCCAACTTTGAAAAAAAGTTTTCATCACGATCCTTGTCAAATAAATTTTTAGAGAAGAGTTATAAGCAGATTTTTTTGTCTCTCAAAAGATCCTTCGATGCACGTTCTTTGTCAAATTTCAGCGCAAATTCATTAGGTGTTGATTCAAAAACTACATATCATGGTGTCAGTTTTTTTTTGATTTTTTTGACGAAGTACTTTCATAATGAAAACACTATTTGAGTGCAGTGCTATGCAATCATTTTTAGGCTCATTGCTTTGCAAGTTTTGACCTTGAATAAAAAAAATCGGACGGCCAAAAAAAATTTAATAAAAAGACCGAAAAGGAAAAAACATTGACCACTAGTGGAAAAAAAAAACAAAATTTTGATAATTTTTATATTGAGATGAGTAAAAAATCATTTAAATTTTTATGTCACGCTTTCACCTGTAATAAAAAAACCAAAAAACAAAGTAAACATGGCCAGTGTTGGAAAAAGAAAACACCAAAATTTGGTATATTCAAGTTGGTATTTTCAAAATTTTGAGAACCAAAATACTTTTGTTTACAAATACAGTTTAGGCATTCTAGCATTTTTTCGTCACATGTCGTTTTCTGAGCTCTTTTTTCCTAACTGCCTATAAGAGTTGGAGTATGGCCGCATTTCTTTTTGAATTGTATGGTTAGGATTTTCTTACAAAGTTTTTGGGAAAAAAGAGAAAACATAATTTCTACCCTTTTGCAAATTTCGTAATTTTAAAGTTGTCTGCAAGACTAGCAAGTACTTTGATTTTTGCTCAAATTTGACTCAAAGTCGCTTTTACTACTACTCTTACGATAATTATATAGTAAACAATTTTTTTGTTCTTCATTTCGAAGCTCTTTTTGTTTTTTTTTCTGTACCTCACATAACCAAACAGAATTCAAAAACTGAGAAAATTAAACCTTTTTGGCATAAAAAATTTTGAGTACAGAAAAAGATAAGTTCAAAATTTTGAAATAAATTCGATATGGAATAAGCAATGAAATGTTCATAATTTGCCTAGAAGGAACGTGTTTCACTTTTTGTAGAAACAAATATTAACGTATTTAAAATGAGTTTCCTTTGGTCAAAACTGTAGAAGATAACGTTTCGAATGAATTAACTTTAAAAAACAAGTTTAAAACAAGTTAAAAACGTCATTTGTAATTGTTTTGAGAAAAAGTTTGGACTTTTGAACACTTTGATATGTCCTGAGGTGCTTCATTGCGAAAAGTCATAGAGAGATAAAAGTGTCTTTAAAAGCGGCTAAAAGCTGTTTTAGTTCAAACTTTTTAAAGAGTAGATCTTTTTTCTGTCTTGTAAAATGCCAGTAAAGTTTGCCTCGCACTAACATCCTCCTCCCCAATCGAAGTGAGGTCGGGTCCACATTTCACGATTGGATGAAAATATTCACCGGTTAGCGATCGTTAAACGATAGAATGCGCTACTTCATTGTTACCGTAAGCCAACAAATGAACGGAGCAATCGCGTTTTAGCCTTTTTTACTCATTTGCTTAGCCTTGCTCTGAAATCTTTAGCTTATGAGTACAGATGACATTTGCATAGGACTGTGCTCGTGCGAAGAGCCTGCATAGGTTGAAATTTTAGCCGAAAAATTAGAAGGGAAAGCCACTTGCATAGTGTCCAAATCGAGAAGACTTGGCGTGCACTCTCCAAACTGAATCGGATCGGAGGATACGGATGTGGTCGTACGATTGATGAAAGACTGCTGGACGGAACAAAAAAAAGTTATTAGAAGTCTATCAGCATGCTTTCGATTTCGAAAACTCTTTTGATGCTCGGGGCAAGATTTACTCAGACGCTTCCGAATGGCATTGTAGGAGTTTGTTTTTTTTTATTTTCGGACAAGCCATTTATGAGACAACAGTCTAGTTGCAAGATTATTCCAATTTTCGATGCTCAACCACAGCTGTTTGGCCGAGCCAACAAACTTCGTTCCGTTCTCTGATCACCTAACGAAAAACATTTCTTGCCGATCATGGATTGTTCTAATGAAAAATTAACCATCTGTGGTACCGCAACTGCTACTGCATTTGCAATAACCATATAGTGGCCTTGGACATGCTGTTCATATCGTTATCTGTAAATTATATTATCCTATTATGTAAACCAAGGTCAATTACTACGTGACCTTTATTGCTAAAAATAGAGAGCTTGTCTCTCAGATCTGTGACTTCGTACACAGTCGAACTCGGATAAAGAAATCCAAATAAAACAATACGGTTTCAACTATTAAATTAACTCTGTGAAACCAACTCCGTTTTCATTATAAACCTCAGAGGTTCTGTTAGTTACCACACCATCAAAGGCTGAGAAGTTTTGGTTTTATGTTTTCGATGCATAGTTTAAACGTGTTCCATTGAACGGAGGGCGGTACGAAGCCCCAAAACAAAAAATTACTTCAATAGTGGTACCCAGGAAATCAATATGTTGGTGAAGGTCCGAGACGGTTGGTGAAAATGTAAAGATCATCGCATCATTTCAAAACTGAGACTCGCAGGACGGCTAAAACCAAATTGGACTATTCAATTTAAGTAAAGGGTTTTGCCGTCGCCATAACTCGTTTGTTTTCAAGAACAGTGCGTTAAGGTTTAACATTTCCTTCTATTGTTTAGTTTCTAAATTATTTTTGAAAAATGTATCGAAAAAAAACTAAGCTTTCTTAAATATTGGCTTTGAAAACACTTCAGTTTTGTTTTAGGTTTTTGCTCCTTTTGTTTCAAATTATGGTAACGAAAGGCTCAGAGTTAAGGTCGATTTTGGTTCGGTTAACACACAAAATCCTTGAACAAAAGTTTACTGCATTGAACAACTCTTTTCCAGTTCCACCCTTTGATTTTTTCTGAAATTCACATTAAAAGAAAGTCTCTTTAAAATTATTTTTTTATATTAAAAACTGCATTGAAACGTGTCAGCGTGAACAGGTGATCAAATTTTCACAACATTTATAACATGCAAAGTTCCGCGTAAAAATTTTTGAGCAGCTTTTTTTGCTATTTTACGAGGGGGGTGGGAAACTGGAAAAAACTCTTTAAACACCCTAACTAATTTCTTGTTCTTACAGGTAACTTTTTTCAGCTGATTCTTTGTTAATCATTAAAATTTGACCTAACTAGTTAGCATTATTATTTGATAAATCAGCCTTATAATTTTTCAAAAGATTTACATCAGTTCATTTTCAACTTTTTTGTGTTTTATTTTAGAAATACTGGAAACCAACAAAAAAGTCTAGCTTGTGACTTCAAACTGATAGCAGTAACTGAGTTTGAACTGTTGGCAGTAATTGAGATTAAACAGTTGGCACTAAATGAGGTTGAATTTTTGGAAAACCTTGCTGATGACCCACACAAAACTAGCTCTTTTTTCAAGACTTATCTCTATATGCTACTGGAATCCACAAATAAAAGCGGATTTTGCTTGCGTTTTGGGAATTCCGTTTACAATTTGCGGATTCCACTTACAATTCACAGATTCTGCTTGCAATTACAAATTCTGCGTCAGTGTAGTTTGAATATACACATAATTTATTATTTAATTATTGATGCCACAAACGGTTTTGGGTTCCGCAAAAATTTTTGCTGATATAGCAAAATTGGATTTTGTTTTAGAAATGTGCAATAACATAGTGTTTTAGCTAATTGATCGTGGAATCCAAAACAGCAAAAAAAAATTGAAAAAAAAACTAGCAATGACGTTAATTCGCGACAAATCTGTTTTTGTCCATTTGTGGAGTCCGCTGACGTTTCAAAAAACACACGGTTTTGTCTCGTAATGTTGAAAAATTTCAGAACAAAATTTTTTTTCCAGTCTTTTTTTGAAAAAAAAACTTTTGTCCAATTTACCTATTTGGCTTTTTACACTCCCTCCTCTCATTTAAGAAATATCTTATAAGTTATCATAATATAATCAAACTCAGCATAGTGAAAGAACTAACTATTGTGTTCACTTTTAATCTTCGTACCTTACATCGTAACATCACGCATTCAGACATTAAAACACGTGCAACAACTGAGAAATATATGCAATGTGGGGGAAAGGTTTTAATATAATATGTGGG